AATTGGTGATTTTGTTTTCTTCAGGTAAATTCCCAGAAGTGGAATTGCTGGGTCATACGGTATTTCTACTTTTAGTTTTTGATGAACCTGCACACTGTTTTCCATAGATATTGTCCTTAAGGAGAAAAGTTTCCATCTTGGAAACTCATTTCATTCTCACAATCAGTTTCTTAACTCTACATCAGTAAACTAGTACATGGAATGAGGGAGGGGACAAAGCAGGGGACTGATCTACTGATCTGAGTTCATTCCTCTTTGAGAGGTTCTAGAAATTAGACCATTGGTTACAAGATGCCACTGTACATGGTTACAAGATGATCTATATTGTAGAGTCTCAGAATAACCCTCAAGCGCCTTCTCCATTCTCTGCAGCCATCACCACATCTCCCCAGCATTTCCTGTCAGTTAACCTTCCAAGTCCAGGAAACCGGTTGAGTTCATTTTGTTGGGTACTTCTGTACTCTGCCATCATGGGACTCTGTGTTATGCCCTATGCTCAGTTGTCGTGGTCTTGGAGAGAAAAGGTATTGAATGGACAGTTACTTTTTCAGTGTAACAAGTGCAAGGCCCTATCTAGTCATCATATTTCTTTGATCCCAGGCCAGTGTCTGGCACGTAACATCAAAACTGTTACAGTGAGCATATACTGAGAGAGAACTATGTGCCACACATTGTACTAAGCACTTGATTCTCAACATAATACAACAATTTTGTGAAGTAATCACTAGTATAAACCCAGTTTTAAAGATGTGGAATTGAGGTACAGGACCATGAAAAGCCCAAAGTTACACAACTAGTAAGGGCAACAAATCCAGGAAGAGTGGCTCCATTACCTCTAAATGTTGAGTGAGTGAATGAGTTAGAGGAAGGAAGGGAAGGAGATGGGTGAGAAAGGGAGTGTGACAGCAAGTGAGCAGCTACGGTCAAAGTCGGCTCTAAGTGCAGTGGGGCCCACAGGCAGAATAGGATGGTTCTGCTGGCCAGGAGGGGAAGCAAATGTGAACAGCTTCATAGAGGAAGTGGTGCTCGAGCTGAATGCAGCTTGATGACCAGATCGTCACTGGCCCAGCAGGGCAGTGCACGCACAGCTATAGCAACCCTTCTATTTTTGTATGAGATCCCTTCCCCTGTCACCTACTCAAAGATATTTCTCCTACAGCTGTCCCATGAGTTTTCCTCTTACTCTAACCAGCTTGTAAACATGCTAAAATATTTCCTAGCCTCAAAAAACATCTTTCCCTGCTTCTTCCTTCAAGCTATTGCCCATTTATCTGTCTCACTTTTTAGTAAAACTCCTAAAAACAGTCTGTATTCCACAACTCCAGTTCTTCTGTTTTCTCTTAACATCATGAAATCAACATTTCATTCCCAAGTTCCAGTGAAACAGCACTTGTCTAGGTCAGGAGTAATTTTATATTATCTAATCCAGATGTCAGTCCTACAGCCACACCTTACCAGGCCTACCTCAGTGTTTAACACAGTTCTCACCTCCTTGAGATGCTTCTTCCTCTGGCAACTGAGACATCACCCTCTCTGATTATTTTTCTGTCTCATGGACTGCTCCTTTCAGCCTCTTGGAGTGCTACCCCTCACCCCACAAATGCCAATCCTTAAAACGCACAGCTTAAAGTGCCGTGATCAGGGCACTCTCCACTGGAAGCCATTCGGTGACTCCCTTATGGCAGAGTCCAAACTTGAGCCAAGTGTTCAAAGTCTCCACGATCTGGCTGCCTGCCTCTGCCATCTCATCTTTCACATTCATGCGGTGCTCTAGAGGATAGCTGGCCCCTCCACATGTGCTTTCTTACCACATCTTCCCAAGATCCCTGGGAATCAAGTAGTTCTCTGTGCAAATGAGGAAGCTGAGAATCAGATTTTCCATCACTTGCCCAAGGTCAAACAGCTTCCTAATGACCTCTGTGAAAATTTCTGATTACAGATCCTGTGCTCTTCCCATTTACACAACCCATTGCTCAGCCTGATTCCTTAAACTAGGTGCTTCTGAGTGAAGGAGTGGGGTGGAAATCTGGTTCCTTCTCTGGGGTCCATTCTGCCATCTAGATTTCCTCGGGGAGTGCAGTTGTTCACACTCTTCACCCCATGGGCTTGGTCGTCACGTTTGCAGGACAATGGGTGCTCTTACTGGTTAAAATGCTAAATCTCCCCAAATGAAAGGCCAGCTGGAGAGTATGAGAAGAACAAGGGCTGAATGATTTGATCAGACATATGTGGGGGCCTCCTGGCATTTGGAGTTTGAGTGCCTTAGAGAAACCAACCATTCTGGCCCGAGGGAGTTGACGACTGTTAATCTTGGTGGTTTTGACCGCTAACTGCCCCAGAGGTCCCAGCCTGCTGTATGACTCAGAATCCCCAACACTCTCCCTATTCTTCTCTCACTGGGACAGTCAGGAGGCCATTCCTAAGGCATTTTAATTAGGTAATAACTTGACATGGCCCACTGTACCCGCCCTGTGTGTTTCAGAAGTTATATTGCTTTCTAAATGCAGGGTTGGTTTAGAGCTGCTCATCCTTGGTATCTGACTACCTTGCACCTCCGTGGGAAGGGCCTTCCCTACTGGGTGCTGGCTTCCTTGTGCTCCAGCTTGCCAGTGCTCCCTCTCCTCCATTATAGATTACCTGAGCCCATGGATCCTGGTCTGTCTCATAACCCTTATCCCTGAAGCACCCTGCCAGAGGTTGATGGTGTAAACTAGAGAGGAAAGATGTGGCCACCTGTTGTGCATGTGTCTCTACAGGGCACTGTATTACAGAGGCAATTGCCACCCATCATCCATCTCTTCTCTTTGTGGAACTTTCTAGAATTCAGAAAGACCACAGGAACCCACAATACAAGGCGGGCAAGCAGATGGTGGGTGATTGGGAGACAAGGATATCATGCACTCAAAATCCCTCACTGCTTGTACACACGCATTCAAAGGGCCGTGAGAGGCCTTTTTGACCCTCTTCTCTACCACATCTCCTACTGCAGTGACCCCTTGTGTGCTGTTTGGACTCTGTGCTTACCTCTGTGATGTCACTTGCTATGATCCACACTGGTGGTGGTGCCATGGTAAGGGCTTCTGCACAGGTGTTAGAAACATAGGTGTTCTAATCCAGTATTTACCATTTACTAGCCATATGCTCTTGAATAAGTCTCTTCATCTTTCTGAGCTCATGTGTGAATTGTAATTAATAGCACCTGTTCAAATCATGGCTATTGAAAGAAGTAATTGAAATAATCTATAATGTTTTAATCTTTGCACCTCATTGAAAAGCTTCCAGTATGTTCAGTAATTGCACTGAAGTTTATATTTCGTTTCTGAAATACAGTTGTTTACATAAGAAAATATTGTTATGTAAATTCTCTTGTTAAACCTTTGACTTTCTTTTGCCTACCAAATAAAGTCTCCACTACACTTGTCACTCAGCATTTGCATTTGCATTTCCAGTTTTAAATTTCTTGGTAGGAAGACTTAAAAATGTAGATTTCTGGAAGAAATTGCACAAGGATAACAGATGAGTTTGTCTATATTTAATGAGCAGTTACTCTGTGTGGGGCCCTGGGCCAGGCCAGCAGGGGCACATGAATGAATCACATATGACACATGAGAGGCAGGGGCATCATCCTTTCTGGCTCTCCAGTGTCAGGCGCCACTGCCCTCCCCCCATACCCACCCCACCCAGTCCCTGCAGAAGGCAGCCCCGAGGGCAGAATTGCCACTGGGCCCCAGCACAGCAGAGCAGCTGGGCATCAGAATGTTGGCAGCAGGCCCAAGGGTGGAGGCAGGGGAGGTTGGGACGAGAGCTGGCAGCCAGCCAGGGCTCCCTCAGGTGCCCCAGCCCGCAGGGCCTCCAGCCCTGGCAGTCACTGATGTGTCCTGTTCTTCCACTGTGGTTTTCTCTAAGTTGCACGGGGCAGAGTTTTTGGTGGCATGGCCATGACTCCAGCCCCTCACTGAACGCAGGAGGACCTTGAAGCTCAAAGATGTAAGGTGACTTGGCCACAGCCACAGAGCCACAGAGCCAAGGCTAGAGCACAAGTCTTCTGAAAAATGTTCAGCGGTCTCTGACGTGCAGATTCTTGAGATCTTCATTTCTAGTCTAACTGCACTGAGACTGTGAGGGTCATTTTATTCCTTCAGAAAATTATAAGGGTCTTCAGTGTGCCCATCCCTATGCAGGGGACTGGGGTTGCAGGGTTAAATCCGACCCTGATTTGGGGAATTTACATTACAATGAGGGAGACATAATGTAACAACTGCAGAACCAAATGGCAAGTGCTGATGGAGGTGAGCATAAATGTGGCAAGGGGTACAACCGTGAGGGCACAGAGCCCAATCTGGGGGTTGGTATTACTCCCAGGGAAGTTGACATCTGAGCTTAGTTGCAAACGATCAGTAGGCACAGCCAGGTGGACAAGGACAAGGAGGAACACTCCAGAGAGAACAGGTGAGCCAGGAGAGCATCATCTTTTAAAGGTCTGGTGGTTACAGAAATAGCCCCCCACACACCTGATCTGTATTCAGGGCACTGTGAGTGGCTCCCACTGGCTGGATCATAGTATGTGTGGAGAGAATAGAGAAAATGATGCTGGGCATATAAGAACACGCAAAAAAGGTTGAAAGGGCAGTGCTTTTGACTTTATCAATGTCTGAGCTGCTGTCTCCTTAAGTCTCTAGGCTCCACTGTCCTGACTGGGAGCCAGGATGGACTTCCTAATTTCTTTGGTATCAGGCTTACTGCAAAGAATATTTGAAACCTTCTGAGTTCCTTTTACCATATTGCATTGAGGGACCTTGCTTATTTATCTGCCTGTTCCTTTAGGATTTATGGTTTGGAGATTTTTTCCCCTGAAGCCTTGGTGTGGAAAAGGGGCTGAGAGTCTGATTATAGGGAGTGAAACTTTATTTGAGATTAAAGCACATACAGCTCTTCATGCACTAATAGTCCACTGACTGTTCAGTGCCTGGCAAGCTGTGACTTTCCTTCTCTTCCCATAGGCCTGCTGAGTTAGCCACCAAGTACGCCAACTTTTCAGAGGGAACTTGCAAGCCTGGCTATGCTTCAGCTTTGATGACCACCATCTTTCCCCGGTAAGTGCTCTGGTTTCTTCCCACTGCCTAGACAACCTGGTCCATGGCCCAGGAGTCAGAAATGCTACCCTTGTGGCACACGATGTGCACCTGAGAAAAGAAGATTCTGTCGTAACTTCCTGTACCCTCGAGCCTGGGTGCCTGGGAAGGACTTTGCTTTTAGTTAGCCCCTACCACAATCACACTCTATGCCCTGCTTCCCTTTACTCCCTGCTGTCCTCCTGGACATTGCACCTGCCAGCACAACTGATTTCTGCAGAGCAGAGAGAGGAGGTAGGACCTACACGGCTGCCCCTCAGCAGTCAGACAAGGCCACCCAGTGCAGAAGCTCTCTGTCGCATACCAGGGGTTAGACTTTGTCGGGAGCTCGGACCAACTACCTGGCTTCAGGGAGGCACATCCAAATAAAGCAAGGAACAGAGTGTTTCTGAGGCTGGCTGTTTTGGCATCTTACCTCGCTGTCCATTTTGTATTCTGGAATTCCTGATTTCCTTGATATGAAGCTTGCTGAAAGAAGTTGTGCCAAACCCCAGGGGTTCCTTTTACCAAATGCTACTAAGGAGCCTTTCTTGCTTACCTGCTTTTTCCTTTCAGGTCTCCTGAAACCTTAGGGAAGAGGGGTCTTATGGGCTGAGATTGTCTTGTCTGCAGCCCGGAGTGTAGTGAGGCTGATGTCCAGGTCATCTTATTCCTTCAGAAAGTTATAGGAGTGTCTGACTTGGAGAGGCTGGAGGAAAGATTGTTCAGGACCCTCTGAGAGTCAGGGTACAGCAGTTGGACCACCAGAGGAGCCCCACGGGTTGCCTCTTGTGGTGGGCTTTGTTCACTGGGGGAAGGGCTTGCATCCCATCCCTTAGAAGGCTGAGGTTAGGGCACACAGTGTGCTTGCAAAGGAATGCTGGGAAACAGCTTGCCCAAAAGTAAATGCAGGATACTTGGCTTTTATGCTCCTTTTCTTTTTCTGATATAAGCAATCCGAGCTTAGCTCCATGGTAAAACAGGAGATCTGCTGGCTGAATATACAGTGTTCAGATAGCCATCTCTTTGTCCAGGGTCTGCCTTCTGAACTGATTCCAAATATTTTGTTCCCCTTATCTGTTTATTGAGTGTCTCTTAAGTATCTGGCACTATGATCCCCATTCTTACATTCGTTTTCTCAGACCTACACAATTCAGTCCCTGGGCCAGACACCTATGAGTTTTCCTTGACCTGCGTATAGGTTTCTTCTGAAAGTAATACAAGCATTCAGTTAAAAAGAAATAATAACTCAAACAGTACCAAAGGGTATATATTCCCAGTCCAGACCCTTTCCCCAGAAACAGCCAATGTTATTATAAATGGGAACATACTGTATTTAATGTTCTGTATCTTGCTTTTTACTACTAATAATATATGGTAGACATTTTCTTATTATCAACATATATGGTAATCTTTTTCATTAAATGATTGCATAATATACAATTGTATGGATATATTATAATTGTATTACAGGTAAGGTTTATTGAAGTTTAATTTATATACAGTAAAAATTACATTAAGTGTAGTTGTATGAGTCTTGATAAATGCATGCCTTTGAGTAACCACCACAATAATCAATAGACCATTTCCATTATCACCCCCCAAAAGTTCCCTTGTGCTCCTTAGCAGTTAATACCTCTCCTGACCCCAGCCCCTGTCAATCCTTGATCAGTTTTCCATCCCTACAGTATTTCCAGAAGGCCATATAAATGGAATCATACTGTATATAGCCTTTTGAGTCTGCCTCTTCCATTTAGTGTAATACATTTGTGATTCATACATGTGTTGTGTGTATCAGTTGTTAGTTCCTTTTATTGCTGAATAGTATTCTATTGTACGGATATCACAGTTTACTCAATAGTTGAAAGATGTTTGTGTTAATTACAGTTTTGGGGGATTACAAGTAAAGCCACTATAAACATTTGTGCGCAGGATTTATATTTAACTTTATAAGAAGTTGCCAGTTTTCCAAATTGTACTGTTTTGCTTTCTTGCCAGCAATGTATAAGAGTTCCAATTGCTGTACATCCTGCCATCAGTCCTTTTAATAGTAGCTATTCCAGTAGATTTACAGTGATAACTCATTGTGGGATTTTTGCATTTTACCAAGGGCTGATGATGTTGAGTATCATTTTCATGTGCTTATTTGGCATTCTTTTATATTTGAGGAACTGTCCAAATCTGTTGCTATTTTAAAATTGATTCTTCTTATTGAATTATAAGATGATTTTACAAATTCTGAATAGAAACCCTTTTTCAGATAGATGTTGTGATACTTTCTTCCAATTGGTAGTTTGTCTTTTCACTCTTAACAATGCCTTTCACAGAGTAGAAGTTTTTAATCTTGATGAAGTCCAATTTACCAATTTTTTACTTTTATGGATTTTGCTCTTTGTGTTTTATCTAAGAAATCTTTCCCTAATCCAAGCTCAAAAGGTTTTTCCTGTTTTCTTCTAGAATTTTTAATAGGTTTAGATCTTACACTTAGGTCTATGATCCATTTCAAGTTGATTTTTCTATATAGTGAAAGCTAATGGTTGAGATTCATTTTTTGTATATGTGTGTTCAGTTATTCCCAGACCACTTGTTGAAAACATTCTTTGTCCATTGAATTACTTTGACACTTTTGTTGAAAATCAGTTAAACATATACATGTAGATCTGTTTTTGGGTTCCCTATTCTATTGTATTGATCTTTATGTCTGTCATCAGAGCAATATCACACATACATGGACAATCATTTCTTCTGTTAATAAAGATAGTTTTATTTCTCTCTTTCCAATTGGATCCCTTTTATTCCTTTTTATTCCTCATTGCACTGGCTAGACTCTTCACTACCATGTTGAATAGATGAGGTGAGAGTGAATATACTTGTCTTGTTTCCAATCTTAGGAGGAAAGCATTTAAGGTTCACCATTATGGTGTTAGCTGTAGGTTTTTCATAGATACCCTTTTTCAGAGAGAGGAGGTTCTCTTTGTTTCTAGTTTGTTGAAAAATTTTATAATGAATAATGTTAAATTTTGTCAAATTCTTTTTCTACAGGGCTTTTCTTTTTTAGTCTATTAATATGGTGAGTTACATTATTTTTTTCATTGATTAATTTTTGAATGTTAAACCAACCTTCATTTCTAGGGTAAACTTCATTTGGTTCTAATATATTGTTCTTTTTCTATAAATTGATGGGTTCAGTTTGCAAAGGTTTTCTTAAGAGTTTTTTGTTCATGAGAGAGATTGGTTTTCTTCTATATCTTTAGTTTTGGTATCAGGGTATTAGTGGGAGACTGTTCCTTCATCTGTAGTTTCCTGAAAGTTTTGTGTGCATTTTTCCTTAAATGTTTTTTTAGAATTTACCAGCAAAGACATCTAAGCCTATTGTTTTCTGTGTGAGTTTTTTTTTAAATTAAGAATTAAATTTCTTCATGCAACTAACAGGGAGAAAAAAGCAGGAGTTGCAGTACTTGTATCAGACAAAATAGACTTCAAAGCAAAGAAAGTAACAAGAGACAAAGAAGGACATTACATAATGATAAAGGGGTCAGTCCAACAAGAGGATATAACTATTATAAATATCTATGCACCCAACACAGGATCACCTACATATGTGAAAATACTAACAGAATTAAAAGGGGAAATAGAATGCAATGCATTCATTTTAGGAGACTTCAACACACCACTCACTCCAAAGGACAAATCAACCAAACAGAAAATAAGTAAAGAGACAGAGGCACTGAACAACATATTAGAACAGATGGACCTAATGGGCATCTACAGAACACTCCATCCAAAATCAACAGGATACACATTCTTCTCAAGTGCACATGGAACATTTTCAAGAATAGATCATATACTAGGCCACAAAAAGAACCTCAGTAAATTCAAAAAAATTGAAATTGTACCAACCAGCTTCTCAGATCACAAAGGTATGAAACTAAAAATAAATTACACAAAGAAAATGAAAAAGCCCACAAACACATGGAGGCTTAATAACATGCTCCTAAATAATCAATGGATCAATGACCAAATAAAAACACAGATCAAGCAATATATGGAGACAAATGACAACAATAATTAAACAACACAAAATCTATGGGGTGTAGCAGAGGCTGTGCTAAGAGGGAAATATATTGCAATACAGGCCTACCTCAGGAAAGAAGAACAATCCCATATAAGCAGTCTAAACTCACAATTAATGAAACTAGAAAAGGAAGAACAAATGAGGCCTAAAGTCAGTAGAAGGAGGGACATAATAAAGATTAAAGCAGAAATAAATAAAATTGAGAAGAATAAAACAGTAGAAAGAATCAATGAAAGCAGGAGCTGGTTCTTTGAGAAAATAAACAAAATAGTTAACCCCCTAGCCAGACTTATCAAGAAAAAAGAGAGTATACATAAAAAGAATCAGAAATGAGAAAAGAAAAATCACTATGGACACCACAGAAATACAAAGAATTATGAGAGAGTACTATGAAAAATTATATGGTAACAAACTAGATAACCTAGAAGAAATGGACAACTTTCTAGAAAAATACAACCTTCTAAGGCTGACCCAGGAAGAAACAGAAAATCTGAATAGACCGATTACCAGCAAAGAAATTGAATTGGTAATCAAAAAAGACCTAAGGTGCTTGCTTTGGCAGCACATATACTAAAATTGGAACGATACAGAGAAGATTAGCATGGCCCCTGCGCAAGGATGACACGCAAATTCGTGAAGCGTTCCATATTTTTAAAATAAAAAAATAAAAAATAAAAAATAAAAAAAAAAAAGACCTAAGATCAAAACCCCTGGACCTGGTTGTTTCACTGCTGAATTTTATCAAACATTTAGTGAAGACCTAATACCCATTCTCCTTAAAGTTTTCCAAAAAGTAGAAGAGGAGAGAATACTCCCAAACTCATTCTACAAGGCCAACATCACTCTAATACCAAAATCAGGCAAAGACACCACAAAAAAAGAAAATTGCAGACCAATATCCCTGATG